GGTGCGGGAGGCCGGCGTGCCGATGGGCCTCGACCACTACCACCTGTGCCTCCGCTTCCACCGCCGATCGCCGGAGCACGCCCGCCACCTCCTCGAGGACCTCCTCCGCGACGGCGTACGCCCGACGGCCGCCACCTTCGACGTACGACCACCCCACCCACCCACCACCAGCCACCACCACCACATGCGGTCCCACCAGCGTGCGTGTGTGGTGTGTGCGTGCGTGTGTCGTGTCTACAGATGGTGGTGGACATATACGGCGTGGGGCGACCCAGGGCGCATTGGCTGAGCGAGGCCGTCCAGCTCTTCCACCGGTACGCGCACACCTCCTGCCCGGCGCCCCGATCCACGTGCTCTCTCGTGTCCTATGTCGTGTCATTGATCGCGTGTCGTGTCGTTGGTCGTGTTCGTTGGTGGCTGGTGGTGGCAGGTTCATCGGGATGGGCGTGGAGGGGATCGCCAACCTCTCGGCCTTCCGGCGTCTCATCCAGTTCTGCCACCGGGCAGGCGACATTAACCAGTACCCCCCTACCCCCCCTACCCCCCCTCTACCCCCCTCGCCCCACCTCCACGGCTGTGGTAGGAGCTACCACCGAGGGGCGGCTCGTGCCACTGCGCATCCCCAGTGGTGCGCGCGATCCATTAGCTGACGGGCGTGTGGGTAGGGCGTTCGAGCTGCACGAGGGGCTGCGCGGCCTGGGGCTGCGTGCCGACATGGACACCTACATCTCCCTCCTCGCACTCGCCCACAGGCACTCCTCACCCCCCCCCCTCCTCCCATTCAATCGATGCACGTCCGCGCGGCGGCACCTCTGCACAGTTGAAGAAGAAGAAGAAGAAGAAGGCGGCCGAAGATTGGGGGGGAGGGGAGCTCATCTTCGGGCGCGGCTGGTGGTTCCCTGGCAGGTGCGGCGACGCCGAACGGGTGAAGAAGCTGTGGACCATGATCACGCTGGCCGGCATCGAGCCCAACACGCGCCTCGTCAACTCGTTCATCGCCAACTGCAACAGCCCGGAGCGCGCCCTCATCGCCTTCAACAAGTGCGGCTCTCCGCCTCCTCGTCCTCGTCCTCATCTTACCCCCGCAGCATTGCTCCCCCCCGATCTACCATTGCTGACGGAGAGCGGCGCCAGGATGGCCGAGGCTGACCTCCAGCCCGACGTGCACACCTTCGCCGCCCTCACCACCACGCTCGCCCGCGCCGGTACCCCCCTCCCCTCCCAATCGCTGCTTCGCTGTGTACTGTTTTATATTTTATATGGTATGTGTGTGTTGTGTGGCGTGGCCCCTGCAGGGCACGTCGAGGACCTGCGGCGGGTGTACCATCTGATGCGCTCCCTCGGCCTGGGAAGCCCCGCCATCTACACCACCCTCCTTTGGGTGCGCCAACCCCCCCCCCTTCTATTGCTTCTAAC